ATTCACGGGCGGCCGGCCGCACGGACGGCTGGCTGCTCGCTCGGCGGCGCGGGCTGGACCGGGGTGGGGATTCCTGTCTGGGGCCCCTGGGGCTCCTTTAAGGGCTCCTGGGTAAATTTAAAGGGGCCGCGTGCAATTTCCTCCTGCCAGCTCGCGGGGGGCTGGCGCGGGGAAGGCGGGAGGTGGCGAGTCCGCAGTGGGCGCCTGTTACGGACGCGGGGAGCACGGACCTCAGCGCCCTCACGGGCCCGCCCCGCCGCGTCCGCAACTGCAGCTCTGGGCTTGTAAAGAGTCGCCGAGGTGACCAGGGGCGCCCGCGTCCAGTCCGCTACGATGCGCCTCGGCCACCGCCCCCTCGGGGCATCTCCGCGAGCAGCTTTCCGCAGCCAGCGAGCAGGGGACCGCCCGGTGCGGCGGCCCGGACCCCATCCCCGGGTGCCTCCTTGTCCTCCCGCGCGAGCTGGGCGCGGGCCCCGAGCGGACGCGCCTGGCAGGGGCCCCAGATGGCCGCGGCCCCGCGGAGAGGGTGGAGCCGTGGGGGCCGCCGCGCCCCCTCCCGCGGGAGCCTGGGGCTAGCGCAGGCAGCTCTGGCTTCTACCGGGGAGGGGCAGCGGGGCGAGGCTTCCACCGAGCCGGCCCGGGTGAGGGCGGCGGCCGCCAAAGTGCAAGCCTAGGAGAGGGGCGCGCAGAGGGCTGGAGGAGAGCGAGCGCGCTGCGCTGGTCCGCCGGCGTTACGAAGCGGAGAAGCGGAGGTGGCCCCGGGCTGGAAGCCGGAAAGAGAGGGCGATTGCGGCGGTGATTCAGGCCCCTGCCCCCGCAGGCCTATAGGTGCCAGGGGAGGCAGTCTGCTGAGCCCCGGGGCTCCTACACAGGACGAAGGGGAAAAGAATGCTGGCCCCGTTCGTGGCGTTGGGCACTTGGAGACGCGCGTCCCTAGGCTGGGAACCCTTGGGGCGAATTCTGGTTTCGGCCCCGGGACACCTCCAGGTCCCCCGCTACCGGACAGCCTTGAGAAGGAACCTCGAGGGGTTGTGATGTCGAGGCAGCCTGGGGTCCTACCCGGACAGCTGAGGACGCAGGTGCTCGCTTGCCTTTGGTTGGTCTCCCACAACAAAGCGAAGGCCTGAGGATCCTAATTACCGGGTGCGGGACACCATGAGGGTCTTGTTATCTAGAGGTGGGTTTTATTCTCTCCCTGCCGGGGAGGCACACAACAGTCGGTCAAAGAAGTCACGTTCACGGGGTCGTTCTCACACGCAACACCTACTGTGTGCTACAAGCACCGACTCTCAGGACATGCAGCAGTGAACAAGAATGCTGCTACTGCCGGTGACTTAGGCATCCTCAGCCAATAAAAAAGAAACAATTACAGCCCCTGGGGAGTAAAGGAAAATATTAAATTACCCGGCACACAGGAAACCATTCCCCGAAGTGTATATGCGGAGAAGACAGGAACTAAAATTTCTGAAGTGCCACAAGGGCGCTTTCACTGGTGGAACACCCCCCATCCCCGTGTTTTCAGCCTCCAGGATGACTTGGGAGAGACTTCACCTTGGGGAAATTTAAGTCCCTGTCCTACAACTCTTCTCTCCCATGGCTGGCTGCCCTTCATTTCACCCCTTGGGCTGAACAGGGCCGCATGCTCATGGGATGCAGGATGCACCATGAGGTGGAAGGTTGCCAGGCCCAGGAACACAAAGAAAATAACAGGGAATTGGCCTTCACATGCTCATGTGTAAAACTTTAAAAAGAAAGAGGCCAGATCACGCGCATGCCTTTAATCCTAGCACTTGGAGGCAGATGCAGGCAGATTTCTGAATTTGTGGCCAAGCTGGTCTACATAGCAAGTTCCAGGCCAGCCAGAGCTACATAGTGAGACTGTGTCTTAAAATAATAATAATAATAATAATAATAATAAATAAATAAATAAAGGAAGAAAGGGCTGGGTATGATGGCACATACCTGTGATTACAGCAGTCTTGGAAACTGAGGCAGGATGATTAGATGTTAGCTCTAGGTTCTATCCCCAGAACTCTTTCTAAGGGAATAAAATAGTGCAAAGCAATCTGGTGACCTAAGTGAAAGAAGTCTATTTTTCTAAGGCCTTCCACTTTAGTTTCTAGGTGCAGGGGTCCCCTAGTGCAGGGCCAGCCACTGCAAAATACTTTGGAATCTATCCTTCCAGTCTTAATCTATAAAAGGCAATTTGTTACCAAAAGAAAGATATCACAGCCACCTGGAACCATGTTTAAACTTGCCTGTCCTCATCCATACCCTGCTCAGTCTCAGGAATGGCCCCCAGGCTCCATGATTTGTAAATTTTCCATCTATAGCTTAGTCCTTACAGCCAACCCAAGAACCTGGAGCTAGCTGTTAAGATGCAAAAGCAGAGACTCTTAACAAGACTTTGGTCCAAGCCAGGCATGATGGCACATGCCTTTAATCCTTGTACTCAGGAGGCAGAGGCAGGTGGATTTTGTGAGTTTGAGGCCAGCCAGGTCTACATACTAAGCTCCAGGACAGCCACGGATATATACATAATGAGACCTTAGCTTAAAAAGGGACGAAAAAAGACACTAACACAAGATCATCTGTTAATCCCTTTGCTTAATCACCTAGTTAGAAAGCATTACCTGAAATCAGGGAAGTTGGGGGACTGCTATAATCCTAGCACTCAAGAGGCTGAGGCAGGAGAACTTGAACTGACAAAATCCTGCCTCAGAAAAGAAAGAGGGAGAGAGAGGAGAGAGAGACCAAAGCATGGTAACATAAACCTGTAACCCCAGCACTTAGGAAATGTACACAGGAAGATCAGGAATTCAAGGCCAGCTTTAGCTACACAATAAGTTCAAAGCCAGCTTGGCCTGTATGAGATGCTTCCTTAAACACACACAAATCCAATAAGGAGAGAGAGATTCCTGAGCACCAAGCCTGGGGCCGGCAGCAAAGGATTAAAAATGGCGGCGGGGTGATAGTTCATCCCGGTAAAGTGTTTTCCTTCCAAGGATGAGGACCTGCCTTTGATGCCCTTGAGACCAACACAAAAAAATTCTGGGCATGATGTGCTGCTTGAAATCCCAGTGCTGGGAAAATAGAAATAGGTAGCTTCTTAGGACTCCCCGGCCAGCCATCATGGTTTAGTAAGTTCCAAGCCCGTAGGAGACCCTGTATCAAAGAGGAAAAAAGATGTCTTGCACGTGCATGTGCATACCACACACATATGAACAGAAATAGGTAAATACATATATGTGAAAAGTTTGAAACATAATATAGTGCCAACAGTGCAGCTCAAAGACAGGCCTTATACCTAGGATACTCGAGGCCCAGGTATGGTCCTCAGTACCCCAAAACAAATGACAGCACAGAGGTGTCCACTTCTTTCCAAGGCACTCTCAGGTAACTGTGGGAAGGAGGAACCAAGAATGATGGTCAGGGCCATGACCTGACTTTCAGGGGACCTAAGTACTTCTTCCTTCCTCTATTGAAAAGGAATGTCAGTCAGGTGTAGTGATGCACGCCTTTAATCCCAGCACTCAGGAGGCAGAGGCTGGTGGATCTCTGGGTTCAAGGTGAGCCTGGTCTACACAGTGAGTTCCAGGACAGACAGGGCTACACAGAAAAACTCCTATCTCAAAAAACTGAAAAAAAAAGGAAAAAGAAAAGAAATGTCCAGTGGACACAGTGGTAGACAAACAGAGGCCGGGAGCAGAATTGTTTGTGACCAGCATGGTCTACATAGTGAGTTCCAGGCCACCCAGAGCTACATACACACCCTGTTGCAAAACTAAAATAAAGCAAAAGGAAGAAATAAATTCCAAGACATGGGTGGGGGTACATAGGTAATGTCAACAGGTTAGAGGCAAAGGCAAGAGGATCCCAGGTTTGAGGCCAGCATGAAAAAGGAGAGGGGTATGAGGAAAAGGAGGAAAGAGAAAAAGAAAGGGAGGGAGAGAGGAAAGAAGCAGAACATTTAAAAGAGTAGTTTTATAAGGGGAAGAAAAACATTTTTGGAACTCCCCCACCCCAAGACAGGGTTTCTTTGTGTAACAGCTCTGGCTATCTTGGAACTCTCTTTGTAGACCAAGCTGGCCTCGAACTCACAGAGATATGCCTGCTTCTGTCTTCCAAGTGCTGGGAATATAAGCGTGGACCACCCCCGCCTGTCTCCTTTCTTTAATTTAAAAATGTAAAATTATTTTTATGTGTATGGATGTTTTGCCTATGTATATGTCTGAGTACTATGTGTGTGCCTGGGGCCTGAAGAGGCCAGAAGATGGCATTGATCTTATAGTGGAATTATGCCTGTAAGCCACCATGTGAGTATTAGGAATAGGACCTGGGCCCTCTGGAAAAGCAGCCAGTGCATTTAACCACTGAGCCACTTCAGACCTTCTTTAACCATTTGTCTGTTTGTTTATTTGTTTGTTTTTGGATGTGGTTACTTTTGTTTTTAGTTTTTTTCAGACAGGGTTTCTTTGTGTAGTCCTGACTGTCCTGGAACTCACTCTATAGACCAGGCTGGCCTTGAACTCACAGAGATCTACTTGCCTCTGCCTCCCGCATGCTGGGATTAAAGGAGTATACCACCACCACC